TGTATTTCCGATGGAGTCGAAGCGATCGCTCCCAGAGGCCCACAAGCCTCTGCTGGCTAAAAGCTCTGCCTGGCTAAACACCTTCAATTCTAACTGCTAACAGTAATAAACAAACAACAAAAACAACTATCTACGCAATAAAATAAAATAAAATAAAATAATAAAATAAAATAAATAATAAAATAAAATAAAATAAATAATAAAATAAAATAAATAAAATAAAATAAAATAATAAAATAATAAATAAAATAAAATAAAATAAAAAAATAAAAAATAAAATATAATATAAAATAAAATAAAAAAATAAAATAAAATAAATAATAAAATAAAATAAAATAAATAATAAAATAAAATAAAATAAATAAAATAAAATAACTCTAGTCTAGCAGAGGAGCTACCCAAAATTGTGTCTGCTCTGAGTAAAAGACTAAGTTAAAACTGGGGAAGGACAGCCCCAAGGAGGTGTGGCTGAACTTCGAACTTAGTCTGTCTGAGCAGGAAGGCTGAAATAACCCACCGGTGGATGCTACATCTGCATACTGGAGAAACTTAAGAGACTTTTTTCTATGGAGCTGGTTCTGAAACATCCAGACGAAGAACAGCCATTTATAATTCAAGCTGATGCCAGTGATGTGGCTGTGGCTGTGGGAGCAGTGTTATTACAGAGAATCAAAGAAGGACAATTGCAACCTTGTGCATACATCTATAGGAAATTATCAGAGACTGAGCAGAGGTGGGCAGCTTGGGAGAAGGAGGCTTATGCTGTACAATGGGCTCTCCTCACTTGGAGGCATTTCCTGGAAGGGAGTAAAATACGGTTTCAAGTATGGACTGATCATAAGAATCTTGAAGCAATGAAAACCCCCAGGAAGTTCTTCCTCAAACAGGCAAGATAGTCTCAACTTTTCCATTGTTTTGATTTCACTATTCACTACCTCCCTGGGGGAAAGAATTTTTTAGCTGACGCATTGTCCAGATTACCACAATATAACAGTAAGAAAGCAGAGGTGACTAAACCATTTTTACACCCCCATCAATTAGCAGTCTCTGTAATCACCAGAGCTCAGTCGAAACCTATGGCTCCTTTCAGAAAGACTTTGTTACAGGATTTTAAAACTGCATTAGAGACTGATGAGTAGTTTCGAAACCACAATAACCTGTGTGTGTTGAAAGATGGATTACTGTGGATTGGGGGAAAACTTTATGTCGCAGCAGCCTTAAGGCTTAAAGTAATGCAAGCAGTGCATGATTTGAAACTGCTGGACATTTTGGATTTGTAAAAACCTTACATCTCATTAAAAGGCAGTTTTGGTGGCCCGCATTGAAATAGAACATAGAAAGCTATGTAGCCAGCTGCCCCACATGCACAGCGGCTAAATGGCAGCAAGGGAAATCCCCAGGATTGCTTCAACTGGTAGCAAGTCTGTCAGCACCCTGGGGAGATATCTCTATGGATTTTATTGTGGAACTGCCTGAAAGTGCTAGAAACACTATAATTTGGGTTGTAATAGATTTGTTCATTTCATTCCATGCCCCAAGATCTCAAATGCAAAAACTTTAGCTAAACTCTTTGTGTAAAACATATCTCGCTTTCATGGGAACCCACGACGTATAATTTCAGACAGAGGGATTCAATTCACCTCTAAATTCAGGAAAGCTTTTCTGGACCTGATGGGTTCTAGTCAAGGGTTATCATCTTCACATCATCCTCAAATGAATGGAGGGACAGAGAGACTGAACTCAGTTCTAGAACAATACCTGAGATGTTTTATTATTATCAGCAGGACAATTGGTTTGACCTGTTACCATTAGCTGAGGTTGCTTATAATAATGCTGTGCACTCCAATACAGGTTTCATTCCATTTCAAGTAGCTAATGGCCAAACATTTGTGGCCATGCCCGAACTTCCTACCAAGGAGCCTGAAATCCCCTCCTTGCAGGGATGGATTAAACAGTTACAAAATACCTGGCCAGTATTCAGGAAAGCTCTGGGTGAAGCCAGGGAGGCCTATAAGACTCAAGCCAATAAATGGAGGGTGGAACAAAAACCATATACAGTCAGGTCCAGAAATATTGGGACATCGACACAATTCGAACATCTTTGGCTCTATACACCACCACAATGGAGTTGGAATGAAACAAACACAATGTGCTTTAACTGTAGACTGTCAGCTTTAATTTGCGGGTATGTACATCCAACTCAGGTAAACGGGGTAGGACTTACAGCAGTTTGCATATGTGCCTCCCACTTGTTAAGGGACCAAAGGTAATGGGACAGAATAATAATCATAAATCAAACTTTCCCTTCTTAATCTTGGTTGCAAATCCTTTGCAGTCAATCACAGCCTGAAGTCTGGAACGCATAGACATCACCAGACGCTGGGTTTCATCCCTGGTGATGCTCTGCCAGGCCTCTACTGCAACTGTCTTCAGTTCCTGCTTGTTCTTGGGGCATTTTCCCTTCAGTTTTGTCTTCAGCAAGTGAAATGCATGCTCAATGGGATTCAGGTCAGGTGATTGACTTGGCCATTGCATAACATTCCACTTCTGTCCCTTCACAAACTCTTTGGTTGCTTTTGCAGTATGCTTTGGGTCATTGTCCATCTGCACTGTGAAGCGCCGTCCAATGAGTTCTGCAGCATTTAGCTGAATGTGAACAGATAATATTGCCCGAAACACTTCAGAATTCATCCTGCTGCTTTTGTCAGCAGTCACATCATCAATAAATACAAGAGAACCAGTTCCATTGGCAGCCATACATGCCCACACCATGACACTACCACCACGCTTCACTGATGAGGTGATATGCTTAGGATCATGAGCAGTTCCTTTCCTTCTCCATATTCTTCTCTTCCCATCACTCTGGTACAAGTTGATCTTGGTCTCATCTGTCCATAGGATCTTGTTCCAGAACTGTGAAGGCTTTGTTAGATGTTGTTTGGCAAACTCTAATCTGGCCTTCCTGTTTTTGAGGTTCACCAATGGTTTACATCTTGTGGTGAACCCTCTGTATTCACTCTGGTGAAGTCTTCTCTTGATTGTTGACTTTGACACACATACACCTACCTCCTGGAGAGTGTTCTTTATCTGACCAACTGTTGTGAAGGATGTTTTCTTCACCAGGGAAAGAATTCTTCGGTCATCCACCACAGTTGTTTTCCGTGGTCTCCCGGGTCTTTTAGTGTTGCTGAGCTCACTGGTGCATTCCTTCTTTTTGAGAATGTTCCAAACAGTTGTTTTGGCCACGCCTAATGTTCTTGCTATCTCTCTGATGGGTTTGTTTTGTTTCTTCAACCTAATGATGGCTTGCTTCACTGATAGTGACAGCTCTTCGGATCTCATCTTGAGAGTTGACAGCAACAGATTCCAAATGCAAATAGCACACTTGAAATGAACTCTGGGCCTCTTCACATTGTAATTGGGGTAATGAGGGAATATCACACACCTGGCCATGGAACAGCTGAGAAGCCAATTGTCCCATTACCTTTTGTCCCTTAACAAGTGGGAGGCACATATGCAAATTGCTGTAAGTCCTACCCCATTCACCTGAGTTGGATGTACATACCCTCAAATTAAAGCTGACAGTCTACAGTTAAAGCACATTGTGTTTGTTTCATTCCAACTCCATTGTGGTGGTGTATAGAGCCAAAGATGTTCGAATTGTGTCGATGTCCCAATATTTCTGGACCTGACTGTAAAGTTGGGGATCGAGTATACCTCTCCACAAAGTAGTCTTGGTCTTTACAACCTTCTAAGAAGTGATGTCCTAAATTTGTTGGACCTTTCCCTATCAAATGCATCATAAACCCTGTGATGGTGGAATTGGATTTGCCAAAGATCTCACAGAAAATCCACCCTATTTTCCGCTGCAGCTTACTCAAACTGGAGATTATTTCTAACCTCAGGCCTCCTGCACCTCCAGTGCCCATGTCTATCATGGTTGAGGGTGAACAACATTTTGGACTTTCAAACACACCATGGGGTGATACAATAGCTTGAAAGAATCTCCCTTCCACCCAGAATGACTGGGTGTACAAGAAACATATTAGAGCCCCTAAACTTCTAAGTCGCCTCCATTCTCAAGATCCTGATAAACCTAATTGATGTGCCTGGTCCCCTCCCTTTTTGTCTTATAGGTGGATTTCCTGTTCTTTTAGGGGGCGTATGTCAGGTCCCCAAATCCTTATTATTTTCCCTGCATATATGCTCTTGTTTTGGGGCCTGCCATTCTGCTGGGAGGAGGGGGGAATTTGCTTTCACTTGGGATAACTTTCTCTTTCTACTTTTCCTCTCCCACCTCTATCCACTTGAGATAGGATTGTGTTTCCCTTATCAGGGAGACGGTTGCAGAGAAACGAAACTGGAGAAGACCTTGAGATGCGTGCCAACTGTTCCAGTTACCCACACATTGTGCCACCTGTGGATTGGCTGGATTTCAAATGGACACTATGACTGGTGGGAGGAGGAATATTGCTGGTTTAGCTTACCATATTAGGATTTCCCCCAGATCTCACCTTGATTTCCCTACTGTCACTGACCCCTAATAAAAGTTTCCTTTTGAGACAATGCTTGTTTCAAGAGTTCTGCTTTCTTGGGTGGTTAGTTGAGGTGGGTCCTTACGCTGCCTTTCAAATATTTTCAATTGTATTCTGTTAAATATACTTTTCATTGCTAAATCACTAAATAGGTTATGAGTGCTAAGATAATCAGAATGCTAATTGTTAATTTTGGATATATTCTACATGCTGACATGGCAAATGTACAACAATGTAATTATTAATGGAACATTGAGGCGAAAAGGAAAAACAAACTTTTATAATGAACAAGAACTGCCTGCAACTAAGGGAAGTGAAAAAGTGTCTTTGGATATATGTACATATACACATATTCTTTTTAATGCTATATTGGTATATAGATTTGTTCTAGGTTATCAAGATATTTGTTTATAACAATCTGTTCAATCAATATCTTTCCCTAGATTGTGAACTGTTAGTACTTACAATCAAGAGGTACATCCAACGCAGTAATAATTTGGCATAAAAAAAGAACCAAATGTATTCTTTCTCCAAAGATGCTGTGAATATCCATACTTATTCAAAGATGGACCATGAAATTCATTCTAGAGTTACAAGCTCAACTTTCTGTTCTTTAAGATTTCTGGAATAAAGTTGTGCAATCTAGAAAAGAAGCAATGCCACACAGAAAAAGAGAAATGAATGCTGTAATTATCTTGAGTTACAAATTAGTATGATTCTATATTATGACTGTTTCATCAATCATAAAAATAAACAAATATCAGCATATGGAATATAACATGTAAAATAACATGTAAAACATAGGGACTCCAAATACAATTCTAATACTGTATTTTACTTTTTATATAAAAGAGGTTTCAAACTGATTCTATGCAGAAATTCTGATGGCAAATTAGAAATATATGAAGACATTCTTTGATAACAATATAGCAAAACAGCAATGAACTTTGTCAAAATTAATTTAATTTTCCTTCTTAGGTAGCTGGTGCTGTGTTGTAGCTCAGAAAAAAATACACATTCCTATGTCTGTATGGTTCAGGGCAGTGGTAGCATTCAGCCAGTTCGCACCTGTTCAGGAGAACTGGTAGCTAAATTTACCTGAATTCGAAGAACTGGCTGGCTTCTGGAAGTCTAGTCTAGGCCTCGGAGGCCTCCCAGGCCTAGAACAGCCCACCAGAAGTGTATGGATACCACTTCCACTTCTAGGCATCAGAGGCCTGGAGGCCTCCCAGGTCTAGAATGGCCCATCGAAAGTGCATGATGCCACTTCCGGAAGTCCGTTTTTGGCATTGGAGGCCCAGGCCTGCATCACATAATCTAACCGGTTGTTCAGGTATTTGAATCCCACCACTGGTTCAGGGAGTTGGTTCCCAGCTCCTTCCTAAGTGAAGACAAAAAGTGAGTCATCTTCAAAAAGAAGACAGAATATTTAGGAAATATTTTTGAGAGTGAATTTGAATCTCTTACAGGTTTTACTCTTACTAAGTGTCATTATTTCAGGCATCAACGATATCATATTCTGTCTCATTTACTCAGAGGACCAGTTTACAAATAATTTGGGTATAATATTTTGGCATTACATTAACATCCTTAAACATTATTTCTCTTCCAAAATCATATAAACTATAATGTATACTTTCTATGATTTATGAACACATTATATCCTTCTTACTATTAATGTTCCTACATTAAGCAAACTATGGTGGCCCCATTAATATCCTGGCCCTAGCCTTGTAGAATATCTGGATCTTCACTCCTTTCCTGCTTTTCCAGAAAATTGTTGCATTCATATATTTAAAATTGGAGGGGGAAAGAAAAAGATGTATTATCATAAGTTGGACAGAAAGCAGGATCTATATCAAGTATATTGAAACAGATCCTTTATTTGCCAGGCAACATTTCAGTCCAATACATATTTGATTTTTTCTTCTTCTCAATTGTATCTGATCCTCAGATACTGCCTGGAGAAATTTGCCTCCTTTGTAGGGTTGAGAGAAAGTGACTGGCTCAAGGTCACCCAGCTAGCTTCATGCCCCAGGGGGGACTAGAACTCAATGTCTTCTGATTTCTAGCTTGATGCTTTAACCACTACACAAAACTGGCTATTTGAAAATGTATGGTACCACTAATATTTCTGAACAGCCACATATTGCCTCAGTAAGATCAGTTTTGGATACATAAAATATTTATGCAAGCTGAGTCTAGAACAAGAATTTGATAGGAAGTCAGTGTATTTAATTCAGAAAGCTGAAATCAGTAAAGGCTTCTTCTAATAGACAATTATAAAATCCCCATTGTAAATGCACCTGGAGAAGATTAATATTTTAAAAAATGTACAGAATTTCAGGCAGATTTGAAAGTAGAAGAAAAGTAGAAGTTAAATTGTAAAAAAAGAAGTTCAAAAATAGTGAAAGAAGGCAGATTTATGAAGTAGTTATCTGGAAAGGGGAAGCATGAATATCACTGGGATCCTGAGATCAGAGATTTTCTGAGTCAGGAATAGTGATTTGATGTTGTTCAAATGTCACTGAATGCTGAGTGAAGACATGAGGATTATCATGTTTAGTCTGTAAGAGGCTGGGTAATGCAGCCTCACCTGCAAGGGATAGAACAGCTATGAAGAGCAAAGGAAATCTGAAGTACAGGTAGTCCTCAACTTACAACATTTTGCTTAGACACCATTCAAAGTTACAAAGGCACTGAAAACAGTAAGTTATGACCATTTTTCACACTTATAACCATTGCAGCATCCCCATGATCACGTGATTTACATTTGGATGTTTGACAACTGACTCACATTTATGACAGTTGAGTGTCCTGGGGTCATGTGATCACCTTTTGCATCCTTCTGACAAGCAAAGTCAATGGGGAAACTAGATTCACTTAACAACTGTGTTACTAATTTAACTGCAATGCAACTGCAATTAAGAAATGTGGCAAGAAAAGTCATAAATTGGGGCAAAACTCTTTTAACAAATTTCCCACTTAGCAACTTAAAATTTAGGGCTGAATTGTGGTTGCAAGTTGAGAACTACCTATACTGGAGCTGACATTGCCCCTTCCATTATAAGCCATTCTGCTGTAAGAATAACTTGTTTTATTTTCAGTTTTTATTTACTGAATAAAAAAAATATAATTATACATTATTTTTCTGTAAAGGCCACTAAACAACATACACCACAAGATGCAAAACAATGGCATACAATATGCATAACTTGTACACTTGACAAATATACAAAGTACCAACTAATTTATACAATTTTATTTATTGATTGGTCTATTATATTTCTATGTTGCTGCAGTGAAAGACACCATTCATGGCAGCACATCAAATAGGTAGTCATGTTCAATTAGTTTTTTGGTGCTACTGAAAAACCATATAGGATTACTTTTTTGTATATGCATCAAGGAAAGAATTAAATTTGGAATGGAAATTTCATTTAATGTCAGGATTACATAGAGAGACCATTCAGTATTATACTGCATGTTCCAGGATTTACAGAGACTCTTTAGAATATTTTCTCTCTGAAAACTCTTCTAGTTTCACTGTGGGAATGTTACAAACAGTTTTGTTTAATTTCTTTTTCCTTCCTGGTTATAAAAGAAAATAAATGTTATGCTTTGTTACATATTAATTAGTTAATCATGGATTACTGCCTTGTTGTGGTGAAGGGGCTTGCGTAACTCAATGGAGCTATGAGCTATGCCGTGCAGGGCCACCCAAGACGGACAGGTCATAGCAGAGAGTTCTGACAAAATGTGATCCACTGGAAAGAAAATGGCAACCAACTCCAGTATCTTTGCCATGAAAACCCCATGGACAGTACCAAAAGGCAAAAAGATATGACGCTGGAAGATGAGCCCCTCAGGTCGGAAGGTATCCAATATGCTACTGGGGAAGAGCAGAGGGCTAGTACTAGTAGCGCCAGAAAGAGTGAAGCGTCTGGGCCAAAGCCAAAAGGACGCTCAGCTGTGGATGCATCTGGTGGTGAAAGGAAAGTCCGATGCTGTAAAGATCTATTCTCCATAGGAACCTGAAACGTAAGGTCTATGTAAGGACTCACCCCACTTTGCATCTTAAGAAGACAGAACTCTTGGAATAATTCTTCCAACAGGAATCCTTTATTAAGAGAAAATGGTTGCAGGCATGCTAGACAGGACTTGGGGTCCAAGCTCTCCCATTCAAGGTTTTAAGGGGTTCCCCAGTAGTCCCACCCAATCAACCCCCCTTCCAGTGATAGTTTCAAGTATCACAATTCCACTCCCTTTCTTCTTTCTTCCGTCTGGATGGAGACTTCAGATAACTACATGAAAGGCAATTACTCTCCTTTGGTATGCTAACACTTCGAGGTTACAATAAACACACATTCAGCATTTAGCTCTTTGAAGTGTAAAGAAGGAAGTGAGGGCCATAAAGCCCCTTTGTTCTCCCCCTTCTCTCCCTCTTATGGCAGAATCCAGAGAAGGCAGAATTGGGAGTTTCTATATTTGATAATTTAAAGATGAAATATAATTGGATTCTGACATCCGGCCCCTCTTAACAATAAGAGAAATCCACCTGAAAGAAAACACAAGTATAAAATTTAGTCAGGCTTGTTAGGATACTCTGTGTGAAACTTCTTCAATAGCTTCGGGGCTCTGACATGACGTTTATGAACCCACTCATTTTGTGAGGCAGGGAGGTGTTTCCAGGCAACTAGGTACTGAGTTGTTCCATGATATCTCCTAGAGTCAAGGATCTCTTTTATTTCGAAGTGTTGTTCACCCTCCACCATGATTGGAGGTGGTGGGGGGGGGATTTTTGGCCGTAGAGGTGACTGATGCTCTCTTTTCAGCAGGCTGCAATGAAAAATTGGGTGTATTTGCCTGAGATTTTTGGGTAATTCTAATTCTACTGTTACTGGATTTATGATTCTTTTAATTGGAAAAGGTCCTATATATTTTGATCCAAGTTTTTTACAGGGCTGTAGGGATTTTAGGTATTTTGTAGATAAGTACACCATTTCTCCTATAATGAATGGTGTAGGCTCAACCCTTTTTTTATCGGCTTGTGTTTGTATGCCCGCCTAGCTTCATCTAGTGATTTTCTGACTATTGGCCAGGTGTTTTGTAGGTTTTCCATCCATTCTTTCAGTGAAGGGATCGTTGGTTCGTTTGGGGTTAACTCTGGCATAGGGTTGAAACTTTGACCGTTGGCTATTTGAAAAGGAGTGTAGCCTGTGCTGGAGTGGACTGCATTATTGTAGGCGACTTCTGCAAAAGGAAGTAAGCCCGTCCAATCACTCTGTTGGAAATTTAAAAAACATCTCAAATATTGCTCAAGTACCGAATGGCAGCGTTCTGTTTGTCCATCTGTCTGAGGGTGATGGCTAGATGTCAGTCCCTGAGTGGTCCCTAAGAGGGATAAAAATTCCTTCCAAAATGCAGACGTAAAGTGCACTCCCCTATCAGAGATGATGCGTTGGGGTGCCCCGTGCAATCTGTAAATGTGCTGGATGAAAAGTTTTGCTAAGGCCTTTGCAGTGGGAATCTTCTGGCAAGGGATAAAGTGCACCTGTTTGTAAAATAGGTCCGTGACTGTCCAGATAACAGTATTCCCATTGCTTTCTGGCAATTCCACTATAAAATCCATGGCTATTTCCCTCCAGGGGGCTGAGGGACTTGCCACTGTTTGTAATAGCCCTGGCGATTTCCCTTGCAACCTCTTTGCTGATGCACAGGTTGGGCAGCTGGCAACATAACTTTCTATGTCCTTTTTTTATTGATGGCCACCAAAATTGCCGTTTAATTAAGTGTAAAGTTTTTACAAATCCAAAATGCCCTGCTGATTTTGTGTCATGGCAAAGGTGCATGAAAGTTACTCTTTGAGTTGTTTGTATATATAACTTTTCCCCTACCCAAGGCAACCCGTCTCTCATTGTGCACACATTTTTGTTTTTCTGGAACCATTCATCTGTTTCCAAGCTTTTTCTGAATTCAATCCCAGTTTGGCTGTCCAGTTGTGGTTTTATTTTGGCTTGGGTTCTTGTGGGTACTGGTGCTGCCAGTTGTGACTCTGCCATTATTGGTCTAGAGTCTGTGGTTCGTGCGCTGTTATATTGGGGCATGCGAGATAGTGCATCTGCCAGGAAGTTCTTTCTTCCTGGTA